GGGTTAATATTAAAAGTATTAGTAAAAAAAACAATAATAATAAAATCCTGCAAATTCAAGGAAATGTGAAATCAAGTAAGGTCACAAGGTCTACTAATTGACTCCTTTGTGGCTAAGCACTAGCAGAGCCACCTGTGTGCAGAGATATTTCACAAAAAAAAAATAATAATAAAATAAACTAAAATGAGCACAGCATTTTCCCAGCGCCGTTGCATTGGAATTAGTGCATTATACAATAAATTTACTTGAGCTAGGGTAGTGTATTAGAATCATCCTGCACAATGCTCTTGGTGTATTATTACTGTTTATACCTTGCAACAGTATTGTAAATGATTGGTCTGAATATATATTAGTGTTCATGTAGAATTTGACTCCATCCAGCAACATAGTTTACATGATAAAGTGTGACATAGAATATACATATCAGCATAGTAATCAGCTGTATTTGCTGTAGTGCATGATAGAAATGACCAAATTTTTAATCCAATTCATTTCTGTCCGAAAGATAATGGAGATTTTTGTTGTTGTTAGCAATGGGACAATCATCAACATTTTGAGTTTTATAATTTTTATATTAGGTCATATGGCTAATCCTCCCCCTTTGATTTCAGGTTCAATAGAGAGTTGGTGATGGCTCTTGACAACAGTAGCCATACCATCTACTCTCAAGACCTCAGCAGCAAACGGAAGTACAATTCTCAATTGAGAGCAGCATACAAGAGTAAAATAGAAATTCCAGACCCAAACACATTCATCATGGACTATAGGAAAGCACTATCAAAATCAACTGATAAGTATGTCATGCAGAATGTAAGCATGGTAGACACTCCACTCAAAAAGCGAAGAGGAAGACCTAAAAAGAACAAGGATAACAATTATGATACATCAAGTAGAATTGAGGAGAAAGTAACTGTGGAAATAGAGTATGCAGAGGAGGAGGATGAAGAAGCTATAGAAGCCCTAGCTGATCCACCACTTTTTTCAGAGGATGAGGATGAAGAGGCAGCGGCTGCAATACCAAATGTCACAAAGACCCGTTCAGGAAGAACAATTAAGATCAAGAAAGAAGATGGGACATTCAAGTATTATGATATGCCAGGCAGAGATCAGCTGGACACAGAAGATCCCAGTAACCAAAAAGACTGGACAGAAGCCTCTGCAGTGCCTGTAACAAAGGGAAAAAGAGGAAGAAAACGGAAGTCACTTGGAGAAATCATTGACAAACGGGATATCATCACTTCTGGGATGGAAACAAATAGAACTCGTAGTGGTGAGAAGAAAGACTTTTCAGGTATGTTGACAGTTAAAGAAGAAAACATTGATACCTGTGACATAATGGATGTGGTAGAAGAGGGTCTGAGTATGCCCACCACTGACCAGATTGTTGAAAGTAGTGACGTAAATGAGTCAGCATCGTATGAAACAGAGGATGGATTTGAATGTTTTGAGTGTTGCAAGAAATTCAGCACAAAGGAAGAATGTGAAAGGCATGCTCAGAAACATATAAACAAAGAGGAGGGAAAAAGAAATACAAGCAAGAAAAGACGGCACAAGATATGCAATGCTGATGGTAATGCCTCAGGTTCTTCACTTAAAATGGATGATAATTCTACTAATGAAATGTCAGCAGTAGCAGATGACACAGACAAGGAGAAGAATTTTCATTGTTCAGTATGTAATGAGGATTTCCCTTCAAGGACAGAACTTGAAGACCATACACATGAAACAGTTCATGAATGCAAATTCTGTGGAAAGCAGTACCAGAATCGAGTCAATCTTCAAACACACATCAAAAGATATCATGAAGAGACAGAGTGGATGAAGTTTAAATGTGCAACTTGTGGGAAGAACTTTGGATTTTTAACAGCTCTAGAAAGACATATGAAAGAACATAATCCAAATCAAAAGTTTTGCTGTGAGCAGTGTGGAAAAGTATTTAAAAGTCTGGTAAATCTAAAAAACCACATACCTTTACATACTAAAGATGAAGTGTATGAGTGTCCCTATTGCCCAAAGCAGTACTACATTAGATATAGCTACGAGAAGCATGTTAAATCACATGTGTATGCACCAAAGTTCCATTGTGAGATATGTGATAAGAATTTTAATGATAAGAAAAGCTTTGAGTTACACCTGGAGAGACATCAGCACGGGGGAATACTTGGAAGGAGCAAGGATTTGAAGTGCAATAATTGTGGAGACATCAAAAGTCCCACCGACTTACAGCTGGTCGGAGAGAGTGATCCTGGCCACCACAAGACCTGTTTAGTCTGTGGGAAGGGGCTCTACAAAAAGTATATGATTGAAAACAATGATGTGTCGCAGTATCTGTCCAAAGATGAAAGAGTGAGAGAACAATGCAAACTTTGTGGGAAATGGGTGTTGAATTTGCCTAGGCATATTAAATATACCCATCTAGAGAATGAATATGTAACATGTGATATTTGTAATATGATAGTTACAAAAGCATCTTTGCCTGCTCATAAGAATCGTAAACATGGAGGTTCTGCTGTGACTTGTGATCACTGTAACAGGATATTTAAAAATATAATGTGCTTGCGTGAGCACATGGCAAAGGTGAGAAGAAAAGAGGATCCATTAAAGAATATTTGTAAATATTGTAAGGAAATTGTTAGTCCCGAAAACTGGAAAGATCACATGATGAAACACAGAACAAAATGTAGTGACTGTGGAGCTGCTCACTTCACAAGTCAAGAGGAATTCATGAACCACCTTAATTCATGCAGAAAATGTAGCAACTGTTCAACTACATTCACATCTCGAGAAGAGTTCCTATCACACATTGAGATGTGTAGCAGTGGCATTAATATAATTACTGGTAACCTTGACTCTGCCAGTGACCAGGAAGTTGTTACTAGTATTTTTGCAATTGTTGATGAAAGTACTGGATGCGAGACATGTGGAGAAATGTTTGAAGATCAGGGAACACTTGCTCAGCACATAGCAGAAGCTCATCCAAATTCACTAGATGGGAATGATATAATCAGTGAAGCTATCCTTTATGCTTGCCCGCAAGAGTCATGTGGAGTGATTGTTACAAACAAGGAACTCCTAAAAGAACATTTGGCTTCAGTTCATAATGCTCAGATGATTAATATTGATAGTTTTACTTAACAATGATGTAATTATACAAAGAGTGTGATACATTTATTTGAATAGAAATGTAAATATGTATTTAATATATATGGCAGTTTTATTATATTTGTATGATTTTATACATAAAGCATAGAATCTCTGTAATATTTTGTTTATCCTTTGTAAAACAATAAAAGTCATTATTTAGAAGACAATCATTTACATACACCTCCAATTCCATACCAGTTGTTGTCATGAAGGACTTAGAAAACAGAGACTGAGGGCCAATGTTGGGGATCTCCCTTACCTTGGGCCTCAGCCCTCATTTCAACCAGTTTTTCACATCTTTTCTTCTCCTTTCTTTCTTTGGTTCATTTTCTTTTTCTTTTTTTTCCATTTTCTTTTTTTTGTGTGTGGGGGGGGTAGGAGGCAGGGACTCAATTTAACTAATTTTCCATCGTCTTTTTCCCCTCCCACTTCTTTGTTTCATTCCTTCTCCAACCTCTTCAACCATCCACTTCCTAAGGTGTGAGAGCGGTGTTGAAAGGATGAAAGGCTGACTTTGTGAAAGTCCTAAACAGCCTGGAGGGAGCCATGGGTACAGTATTCCCCTATTTAGATGATTAGCCCTTACCCCTCAAAGGAGACCCTGAGGGATGGACTGTTTCTCTCCCCAACATACTCTAGGCTTACCATGGCCAATATTAAAGATTTTATAACCTTGTTAGGGGCAATGAGGCTTGACCCTTCATCAAATAGCCCGAATGACCCAAACTCTCCCGGTTCCCCGACCCCAGTCTCTCCTTTGACCACAACTCTGAACACTGCAACTACTACCCCCTCCTTAATGCCTACTAGTACATCATCCATCCAAGTCAACACTCAACCTCCAGGAGACATTCTCAACATTCTTAACTCCATCCCCTCTACCCCCACAAACCACCCCATCCTCCCTTATTACTACTTCACAGCCTAATTGTCCACCTCTCTGTAATACTACCTCTCTCAATGCCCCCATCTCTACAGATATCTTAAATGCTCTATTTAGTCTAGCCTTACATCCTATAGCATCATCAACCCAAACTGATCTCTCTAGCAACCCCGATCCTGCAAAACCTCATCCAACCCTCAATTCTTGTACTTGAACTGTCTCCCATCTCCCCAACAAACTGCCCTATCTATAACAAAAATTGGTCAGTTTGTGGTGAAGACCTACTGGCCTGCCTCACACTATGATGTGATATCAATGCAATGCTACCCCATTCCCCCCCAGAGGTCATCACAAGAACCCCACTAACATTGCCAAAATTACTTTCCGTAGACATGACCTTCCCTTTAACGTTTACTTTGGTGGAGAATCATTCCCTGTCCGACCATATCAACGTCCTCCCCGTCAGTATCAAAATTGTTGGCATTTAGGACACCCTGCCAGACAGTCGTTTCACAGTCCAATAATGTATGTTATAGGGGCTGCCCCACCTACAAGTTTGAGTCTGAGGTGGAAATCTCAGATTCATACTTGGTCTCACTCTGTGCAAAGTCAGACAGGAAGTACGTTGATGAGGTTTTTCTCTCCAGTAATGTCACTTGCTCTGTCCCTCCCCCTCCCTCCCAAGATGTTCTTACACCCTATGCTTCCTCCATCTTACTTCCCCACTTCTACCTCTTTCCTCCCCCAGTCAAACTCTTTTGCCATCCTAAATCCAGACACTCCAATCTCTACTGCAGCCCCAACACCTCCCCTTCTCCCTCCCCGCACTACCCGCAGCAGACAGACTGAACGTTCCACCCCTTCTTCTCCTACCACACACTCGCCTCCACCTACCTTTGGTTCTACTCCTCTTCTCCCCCTCAAGAAAACTCTCGAAAAACTCCCCAATCAACTCCATTTCAGAAACTCTTGAAGATATTCAAAACTATCAGCTCGAGTCCCAAATTGAAACCTCCTCATCCACCCTCCAATTCCACAACTCCCGCTCCCTCCACACTCAAAGTGACTGCCAATATCCATCCTCCTCCTACTCATATTCCCCCTATACTCCTTGTGCAGACTCTCAACTGGAGAGACATATATCCTTGGACTCAAAACTCGAAAAACTCCTCCATCTTCATGTTACCTTGATCCTCTCCACTCTTGATTATGGATGCCATATCTACTCTGCTTCAACCTCCCTTCTTGCTCATCTTGATACAGTCCATCGCTTAGCCATAGGCACCTTCCGCTCCTCTCCAGTTGAAAGTCTGTACACTGAGTCAGGTATGCCATCTCTCTCTCGACGCCGTACCCTTCTCTCTCTCCGATGCTGTGCTCGATTCCACTAGCTTTCCCTCACCAAACTAACTATCCCACGATCCCTACTTCCCAGCTTTGCTTCTTCTCCACCTTACGTATTCTTTTCTCCATTCGCATGGATATCCTCCTCTCCCATTCCCCCTTTCCCCATCTCCGACCTCTTCCGTTTTCTGTCCATTCCCCCCGTATTTGCTCCTCTGTTTTCCCCTGACCCACCAAAATCAGATATACCCCCTTCTATCCTTCTCACCCATTCCTTTGACAACCAGTATTCATGTTTACACTGATGGCTCCATATCCACCTCCGATGCTGGTTTAGCAATAACCAACTCGCTCTTTCAAATACCCACTCCTGAATCCAGTGTCCTTTCAATAGAACTGTATGCACTCCTTTTTGCCTTAAAACACTTATACACGCTCCTTTCTTCTTTCACTCACTCCCACTTCTCTCTCTCTCTCTCTCTCTCTCTCTCTCTCTCTCTCTCTCTCTCTCTCTCTCTCTCTCTCTCTCTCTCTCTCTCTCTCTCTCTATCTCTATCTCTATCTCTCTCTCTATCTCTCTCTCTCTCTCTCTCTCTCTTTCTCTCTTTCTCTCTTTATCTCCCCCCTCTCTCCCCTCTCCCCCCCTCTCTCCCCTCTTCCCCCTCTCTCTCCTCTCCCCCCTCTCTCTTCTCTCTCTCCTCTCCCCCCTCTCTCTCTCCTCCCCCCCTCTCTCTCCTCTCGACCCTCTCTCTCCTCTCCCCCTTTTCTCTCTTCCCTCTCCTCTCTCTCTCTTCCCACTCCTCTCTCTCTTCCCTCTCCTCTCTCTCTTCCCTCTCCTCTCCCTCTTCCCTCTCCCCTCTCTCTTCCCTCTCCCCTCTCTCTCCCCTTCTCTCTCTCACCTCTCTCTTCTCTCACTCCCCCCCGCCCTCTCTCTCTCTCTCTCTCTCTCTCTCTCTCTCTCTCCTCTCTCTCTCTCTCTCTCTCTCCTCTCTCTCTCTCTCTCTCTCTCTCTTCTCTCTCTCTCTCTCTCTCTCTCTCTCTCTCTCTCTCTCTCTCTCTCTCTCTCTCTTTTTCTCCCTCTCTCTCTCCCCCTTCTCTCTCTCCCCTCTCTCCCTCTCCCCCCTCTAACTCACTCTCTCTCTCTCTCTCTCTCTCTCTCTCTCTCTCTCTCTCTCTCTCTCTCTCTCTCTCTCTCTCTCTCTCTCTCTCTCTCTCTCTCTTCCTCCCTCCCTCCCTCCCTCTTGCCTTCTCCTCCTTCTGCCTCCTCTCTCACTTCCCTCCCTACCTCCTCTATCTCTCCCCTCTCTACCTCCTCTTTCTCACTTTCTCTTTTTCTTTCTCTCTTTCTCTCCCCACTCTGCATCTTCTCTCTCTCTTTCTCGCCTTCCCTCCCTCCCTCCCCTCTTTCTCCCCCGTCTCCCCTTCCCCTTTATCTCTCTCCCTCTCCCTCTCACTCTCTTTCTCTCCCCTATCTCTCTCCCCCGTCTCTCTTTCCCCTCTCTCTCTCTCCCTCTCTCTCTCCCTCTCTCTCTCTCCCTTTCTCTCTCTCTTCCCCCTCTCACTCTCTTTCTCTCCCTCCCTTTCTCTCCCCTATCTCTCCCCCGTCTCTCTCCCCCGTCTCTCTCTCTCTCCTCCCCCTCTCTCTCTCTCTCTCTCTCTCTCTCTCCCCTCCCCTCTCTCTCTCTCCCTTTCTCTCTCTCTCTTCCCCCCCTCTCTCTCTCTCTTCCTTCCTCGCTCCATTCTCCCTTCTTGTATATTAATCATATTTTAGCCCGCAATTTCCCAGGTACCTTTCATGCCATCCCCTGCTATTGGGGCCGAGATTGTCGTTAATGGCGGGTTTCCGCGGCATTATTTCGATATATTTGGATAGCAGAGAGTGAGAGGAATCCATCGATACTAAAATTGCTATTTATATTGTAACTGAGCAGGAATGGTTATATCCCTTTAACAATATATGCTTTGTTGAAGAATATGTTCCTCATTAAAAATTCTGTTTAGGTCAAAAGATCCCATTGAAATTCATGGTAGATATTTAAAGAGAAACCTTCGTCATGTCCCCATAGTGTATCGAAATTGATAGCTTTTGTGACTAAATGCTAATGTGTAAGAGTATTTTTTTTTCTTTTTTTTGCAAATGTATACTCAAGTAAAACTGATATTTATAAACAAAAGATGTCTCAGTGTCCTCGACACGGCAACACCAAAGCAGAAGACAAAAAGCACGTAATATCTCCAGCAGGTCAGCTCTAAATTATATACAGACATCACGTCGACTGTCAGATGACGCAGCGTGACTGGGCGATGAGTGTACTCGCTCACAAACACCATTCGTTGGATTTTTTTTTTTACAGTCTTTGTAATGATCGTTTTCCTTTGTATTGTGGGGTTGGTGGATGTGTGACAAGTGAATTACGTGATGCATCATCTCTCAGTGTTTGGAAATCGGTTTGAACAAAAATGAAAAAAATGTAATATGAATGATAACCAAGGCGAATGCGACGTAGTGCAGACAGCACTAATTTCGTCATCATATCAACATCAAAACATTGCGGCTAAATTTTATATTTAGTTGCCTTTTTAATTTTTTTTCCCGTATAAATTTCAAGATACATCAGAAGTGAAAAATTTCTGTTGTTATTTCACAGCAGCGAATGACTATGCTCTAATTATATTTCTAGCATAATGACGTACATACATACATACATATGTGTGTGAGTGTGTGTGTGTGTGTGTGTGTGTGTGTGTGTGTGTGTGTGTGTGTGTGTGTGTGTGTGTGTGTGTGTGTGTGTGTGTGTGTGTGTGTGTGTGCATGCGTTCGTGCGTGCGTGCGTGTGTGTGTGTATTTCTAGGTGGATCAGCTTTCCGAAGAACATATTTAAAGG